CATGCGTGGTTCTCTCATTTTTAGAAAAAAAGAAAACAGGGTAAAACAGCTAACAGGAGTTTTGGATTTTTTTTATCCCATTGTGTAACACATTCCGTGGCAATATGGATTTAAAAAAAAACAACTTAGATGGTTTGTCAGGAAGCAAGTCGGTTCCTAAAATTTTCTTACACCTACTCCTGGTCCCTTGCTAATGCAAGATTATAAAAGGGGTGAGTGAGCCAGCCATGGACCTGAGGGTGTTCTTTCAATGGCCACAGGAGAGATGTGAACAGAATCTTAGAAACAATGGAACTTTTTTTTTATTTATTTATTTCTAGGAGAGAGAGAGACAGCGCGAGCAGGGGAGGGTCAGAGAGAGAAGGAGTCACAGACTGAAACAGGCTCCAGGCTCTGAGCTGGCAGTCAGCACAGAGCCCGACGCGGGGCTCGAACCCACGAACCACGAGATCATGACCTAAGCGGAAGTCGGACGCTTAACCGACTAAGCCACCCAGGCGCCCCAGAAACAATGGAACTTTTTAAACAAAGTAGCAGTGAACAATCAGAAGTGGGAAATCAATTACCCGGAAGCCAAAGCTGCTGCCTGATTGCAAAGGACAGGCTGGAGGGAGTTTGGAGAGTGCAAGGTTTAGGCTCACTGAGCTGGGGATTCTGAGAACGAGGTCAGCTGTGTTCTTTGTACCTTATGCAGAAGGGAAATAGTGTCTGCGTACCTTGGAGCATTGATGGGCTTGTTCCCTTACTCTGTTCATTCCCCAGTATAAACTAGATATTATTTTCATTTTGCAAAGAAGAAATTACAGGTCAGGAGAACAAGGGGGGGGGCAGACTTTTTAATTCAGTATCCAGTGAATAAAAATATAGCATTTTCTACATGTGTATGTGAGTCTCCTAGTTTTTTTTATCAGATTATCTCTGGGAAAGGTTTTTAGCTCTATTTAGATTTTTACTACATTAAAAAGATTTTTCAAAAACTGGGCCCACCCATGAGGTCATGTTAACACTTGAGTCGGTGTGCCTGGGTGGCTCAGTCAGGTTAGGCATCCAACTCTTGATTTCAGCTCAAGTCATAGTACTGAGCCCCGAGTTGAGCTCTGCGCAGAGTGTGGAGACTGCTTGGGATTCTTTCTCTCTCAAAAAACACTTGAGTCTTACCATAGTGAACATGTACTGTTTGGATAACTGAAATTGGTATTTATAAAAAATATCCCGATTTACCACTTTTCAGCTGTTCTAGATGCTGTTTTCCTTTATCTTCTTCGTAGGTGCTCTCTTCAATCCATTGAAAATATTTCCTTGGCTACATTAAGTGTCAGTATTCCCTCCTGACACTTGAGTGCTCACCGAATGCAAGGAATTCCTGTTCTCTCAGGACTCTGCAGAACCCAGTGAAGTAGACGCTAACGTTACCGAGGAGGAAACTGACGCAGGAGGGGAGAAAGGAGCCACAGCACGGGGAGAGATGCAGAGTAGGCTTTGCAGTCAGGGCCAGGTTTGAATCCTTCCACCCATTTACTAGTCTTCACCTATTAACCTCTAAACTTCCACTTACCCATCCGTGACATGGGGTCTTCCCTTGGGACTGTTGTGCAGGACAGGACCGTGCCTGAGATCAGCGTGGCAGCATTGGGCTTTAGCTGACAGACGAGGCTATGAAGGAAAAGTAGGAACCTAGTGGGGGTGTAGACCAATTTTCATTTGAGCTATAGGTCCAAGGTGGAGTTTGAACTCATGACCCCCAAAACAAGAGTGGCATGCTTTGGCTGAGCTAGCAGGAGCCCCATGGTCATTTCTATTTTATGACCAAGTCCTCACTGGTCCAAAGGATTCATTTCTAATGCATGAAAACTAAAAACTTGAATGACATCTTTGTGCTACTGCTCATTGCCCATCTTTACTGCCGGTCCTAAACTGACCACCATAGCTCTTCATCAAAGCTGGCAATTTAGCATCATTTATTTTCTAGCTGGACCTTTTGAGTACTGCTCTTTTAAAGTACTGCTTTGAACACTCCCTTAGATGGATCTTGATGCCCTTCTCTTGGGTAATACCTAGAAGTGGTGAACTGCTGGGTTATATGGTGGGATCTTAACAACGTACACTAGCTCTTTACCCAAGGGGTTCTAAAACTTACACAAATGGTCTCGTACACTGGAGTGAGGACAGTTGGGATTTAAGTTGCACTTCTCATCAACTCCTGATCTCATTGGGTATTAAATGGAGACAGAAAAAGGGCAAGATGTTCCATGTGGCTGGCACCTAATAGGTGCTCTGAAGGCAAAATAATCAGGTTTTGTAAATCTCAGTCTTAGGGTCCCCTGGCATTTTCAAGTGAACCAGTCTCCACCACAGTGCTCAGCTACCCTGTTTTGTTTTTTGATTAACAAAACCTACTTTGTTAATCAAACACTGGTTTGAATTCTGGTTTAAGCCAGTGAATGGGGACTCACACCTGAATTGTTCCCACTCCTTCAGTACTGCTGAACCAAACCCAAGGCTTCAACAGCATTCTGGCTCAGCACAGGAGTGTTTGCAACCAGGATTCTATTTGGGATTTTCAAGGTCTTGATTACACCACCACCAGGGACTCTTCTTCCCATCAAGGGGACAAACCCTGTAATCATGAACATGTGACCCCAACAAGGCATCTGCTCTGATCCCTCCTCCTCCCACCTCCCCACACGGTTCTCAGTGATACAACAGCAGATGCCTTCTGGGCACAAGATGCCAGCAGGGGCATCTTGCTGGTGTCCTACCAGAAGGCTGATCAGCCTGACAAAGCACAGCCCTAAACAACTGGCAAAACCAACGGTAACAAAGAGTTCAGCCTTTTATTTAACAGGTTACATAAGAGATTTAGTCAAATAGACCAAAGCCCATATCATCATCAGACTCCTCGGATTCTTCTTTCTTTGCTTCCACTTTCTTCTCCTCAGCTAAAAAACAAACACACAATCACACACCTCAATATTTTAAACTCCCAAGAGCCCCAGGCCCTTCAGGTTACATGGCCAAAAATAACCTAGACCTCCTCCTAACAACTGTTCCCCTGGTTTTAGGATTTCAAGAAATCATCATCCACTCTTAGCAAATTGAGAAGTATTACAGGGACACCTGGGTGGCTCAGTCGAACTTTTGACTTTGGCTCAGGTCACAATTTGTGGTTTATGAGTTCAAGCCCCGTGTCGGGAGGCTGCTTCAGATTCTGTGTCTCCCCCGCCCCACCCCTTCCCCACTCATGTTCTGTCTCTCAAAAATAAACATTAAAAAAAAAAAGTATTCTAGGCAAGACAGCTCTTCATGTCTATACTCCTCTCTCCAATACCAAAACAAACCAGTTTTCTACCTGGGGCAGCCGTGGTGGACGGAGCAGGACCTCCGGCTGGTGCAGCACCGGCTGCTGGGGCGGGTCCACCAGCTCCTACATTGCAGATGAGGCTCCCAATGTTGACGTTGGCCAGGGCCTGGAACACACACGTACACACACGTGCCACTCAGTGCTGTCCTTTGGTTACAGTACTTACCCCCACAAAAAGTGTCCCCGTTTGAACTTCCAGCAGCCACTTCCCAACACTAAACTGCTCTTCCTTGTCCTTGCAGGAGTCTGCCAATGACATTTTGTCTGCCACTGCGACTCCCTACGACTTACATTAGCTAGGACTATGAAGCTCTATGAAAAATTACTCACAAAAAAACTCATGCTTTGAATGTTAAAATTGCAATGCTGTACTTAAGTAGCAGGGTAAGATATCTAACTCCTATGCATCTTTATTTCTATACACCTCGTGTATTTTTTGGTCCTGGTTTCCAGATTGCGGACCAAGAAGGAAAAGGCAAGACAGACTAATTAGACTCTCAAACTGTAACTATGAAGTGATCACTTTAAAAAGGTCCAGTGAAATATGGCATTTTTTGAGTCCTAGGGATACCTGAGTTAATACTCAGTTTCTCTTCCCAAATCTGCTCCTCCATATCACTTTGCTGCCATCACCTTACCTTTGCAAACAAGCCCGGCCAGAAAGGTTCAACATTTACACCCGCTGCTTTAATGAGGGCATTAATCTTATCCTCCTAAAAAGAAGTAAACCAGCAATCCGTCAGAAAGGGTAGCTTTCATAAATGTCTCCAAAATACCGTAATCGAGAGTAAATCACTCAAAACGTGCGTACAACACCCATGTTCAACCACTTCTCATTAGTCCACCTGTATTTCGCGTATGCTTGTTTAAATCCACCATTTCTTACACTCCTACGATGATCACGAACAAAAGAAACGCACCCTGCTCCCGTGTGCCTGGCACCTGGCAAAGCGGCGCGCTCATCGCTGCCACTTCCCAGGTCCGGACTTGCTATTTTTAAGTTACGAGTCAGGCGACGGGGTGGAGTAAGTTTACGTGCTGGCCCCACGAGGTCTAAGTGGACCAAAGAAATTCAAGGCCACCCCGCCGAACAGGGACAAAGTGCCCTAGATGCGGGTGAGGATGTCCTCAGGCGGAGAAAGCTTCGCTACAGAAAGCTTCCCGAAGCCAGAGCGCGCAGCCCAAGTGAAATCCAGTCCTTCAGGGGCCAGCACGTGGCCTAGATCCCCCGGCCGCCCGCCATGCGGGGCCCGCCCGCCACCGAGCGTCCGCCCCGCCGCCACCGGGGTAATGATGGCCGAGGCTCCGGCCGGAAGGGCTTGCCAGGGACGCCTGGCAAGCAGAGAGAAACGGCTGCCCGCAAGCCCACCCCGCCGCCGGCCCGGGCCCGCACTCACCGTGACCGTCACCTCGTCGTCGTGCAGGATGAGGGCCGAATAGATACAGGCGAGCTCCGAAACAGAGGCCATGGTGCGGGGGGTGCTGACCGGGCGCTGCCGACCGCGGTGCTAGTCGCCGGATGAAGTGAGAAGCTCACACCAACGCGGCCTTAGCTTCCTCGGAAGAACCGAGCACCTTAGCGGCAGCTGCGGAAAGGGGGTGCCGCGCCTGCGCGCAGGCTCTTATACTGGTCACGCGGACCAATCGGCGCCCGCGCCCGGCGGAAGAGGCGGAGCGAGAAACTCCTTCGACGGCAGCGGAGGCGCCTGCGCACAAAGCGTGAGTCGCTTAGCGAGTTCGGGAAGTTGGTTGGACCTCGCAGCGAGTGTCGTAGTCTCTCGGTTCCGCTGAAAGTCGGCGCTCGTGAACAGTAAAAATATTTTTAGGAAAAAGTTATCTAGGTAAATGGACGTCACCCACACGTACTGTGTCCCGTGTAACAGTATTTAGGCACTTAATGGCGCCGGCAGCCTCCCCCAGCTGGCGTGACCACTTGGAGCGCAGGAGCTAAATTTCAGCCTGAGGGACTCGCTTGCTCAGCGCAGCTTCTCGGATAAAATACGTGACGTAAGAGGAGGAAAAGAGAAGCTTGTGACGTAGCCTTTGAGCGTCTATGTCTCGGGAACCGAGCCACGCTCTACAGGGATGCATTTAATCCGGACGCAGCCTAAGAGGTAAGTACTATTATTATAAGTATCTGTTAGGGTAGGGGAACTTTCCACTTAAATTATTATTTAAAAAAAAAATTTTTTTTTTTTTTTTTAAGTAACTCAGGCACCCTGTGTTACGGTGGAAGTATCTTGAAACTGCTCTTAACGTTGTTCAGGACCTCTTGATGCACCTGCTGTGCCGCATTGCTATTTTGTATCTTTTGAAGCTTAATGAAATTGGTGTTGGGTTCCATACTGAGAGTTGGGCTTTTTAAATTTTTTTTGAGATATAATTGACCTCACGTTTTTATTTCAGGCGTAGAACATAATTTGATATTTGTATATATTGCAAGATGATAAAAAGTCTAGTTAACATCCATCAGCATACATTTTGGACTTTTAAGATCTACTCTTTTAGCAACTTGCAAGTATGAAATACTAGAGTCCCCATGTTGTACATTACATCCAGTGACTTATAACTGAAGGTTTGTAACTTGACGCCTTTCACCCATTCCATCCCTTTGGCAACCATCAGTCTGTTCTCTGTATCGAGGAGTTTGGTTTGTTTTGTTGTTGTTGTTGAGATCCCACATATAAGTGAGATCATACAGTAGTCCTCTTTCTCTGACTTATTTTACTCCGTGTAATGCCGTCAAGGTCCATCCATTTGTCTCAAATGGCAAGGTGTTATACTTTATTACGGGCGAGTAATATTCCTCTGTGTGTGTGTGTGACATTTTCTTTATCCATTCATCCATTGGTAGACACTTTGGTTGTTTCCATGTCTTGGCTACTGTAAATAATGCTGCTGTGAACACGGGGATGAATATATCTTTTGGAATTAGTGTTTTTGCAATCTTTTGATAAGTACCCAGGAATGGAATTGTTGGATCATATGGTAGTAATACTTTTAATTTGGCGGAGGGGAGCCTCTATACTGTTTTCCATAGTGCTTGTGCCAAATTATAGTCCCGCCAATAGTGCACAGGTGTTCCTTTTTCTTTGTCATCCTCGTCAGCACCTATTCTTGTCTTCTTGAGAATAGCCATTCTAACAGGTGTGAGGCGATAGCTCTCTGTGGTTTTAATTTGCATTTCCCTGATGATTGGTATTATTGAGTATCTTTTCATGTGATTTTTTTGGCCACGCCTTTGAAAAATGTCTGTTCAGATCTTTTGCCCATTTTTCATGGGATATTTCTTGATATGGAGTTGTATGAGTTCTTCATATATTTTGGATATGAATCCTTTTTTAGATAAAATTTTCTTCTTTAAAAATTTTTTTTTAATGTTTACTTATTTTTGAGAAAGAGAACCAGAGTATAAGTGGGGGAGGGGCAGAGAGAGAGTGGGAGACGACAGAATCTGAAGCAGGCTCCAGGCTTTGAGCTGTCAGCACAGAGCCTGCCATAAGGCTTGAACTCACAAACCACGAGATCATGACCTGAGCTGAAGTCGGATGCTTAACCGACTGAGCCACTCAGGCGCCCCTGTAAAATTTTCTCCTATTCAGTAGGTTGCCTTTTCAGTTTGTTGATGATTTCCTTTGCCGTGCAGAAGTGTTTAGCTTGATGTAGTCCCACTTGTTTATTTCAGCTTTTGTTGCCTTTGCTTTTGGAGTCAGATCCAAAAATTCATTGCCAAAAGTAATGATTACCGCCTATGTTTTCCTCTAGGAGTTTTCTGTTGCAGGTCTTACATTCAAGTCTTTAACCTATCTTGAATTAACTTTTGTGTATAGTATAAGATAGTGGTCCATTTTCATTCTTTTGTGTGTGGTTGTCCAGTGTTTTTTGAGGAGGCTGTCCTTTCCTGAGTGTATATTCTTGATTCTTTTGTCACAAATTAATTGAGCATATATGAATGGCTTTATTTCTGTACCATTGATCTGTGTGCCTGTTTTAATGTCAATGTCTGTTTGGTTACCACAGCTTTATAGTTTGAAAGCAGGGAGCATGAAGCCTCCAGCTTTATTCTTTCTCAAGATTGCTTTGGTGGTTCAGGATCTGTTGTGGTTCCATGTAAATTTTGGGATGTCTTATTTCTATGAAAAATACTATTGGAATTTCAGTGGAGATTGCTCTGAATCTGTCGATTGCTTTGAGTAGTATGCACATTTTAATAATATGAATTTAACAGTTTAACACTTCTGATTCATGAGAACAAAATATCTTTTCTATTTTCTTTTGAGAGAGAGAGAGAGAGACAGAGAATCCCAAGCAGACTCTTAAATATGGAGAACAAAACTGAGGATTGCTGGAGGCAATGTGAGGGGCTGGATGGGCTAACTGGATGATGGGCATTAAGGAAGGCACTTGGGATGGGCACTGGGTGTTGTAGGTTAGTGATGAATCACTAAATTCTGTTCCTGAAACCAATACTACACTATATGGTAACTAACTTGAATTTCAGTAAAAATAAAAAGCACCATAACCAAAAGGAAAAAATGTCAGATTGGGAGGAGATGAGAGGCCCAAAGTCCCCATAGGCTATATTTAAAGTCCTACAAACCAGCAAGAAAAGACACAACTGTCCTGTTTTGCAAAACATCAAAAATTATCAACCAAGGTGGGGGGGCCTGGCTGGCTTTAGAGCACGCGACTCTTGATCTTGGGGTCCCGAGTTCGAGCTCCACACTGGGCATAGAACTTACTTAAAACAAAATTTTCAACTAAAAGTTACTAGGGCTCAGAAATTTTTATTTCAACTTTAAAGATGGGACACCACCATTAACAAAGTGGTTAAAAGCTTTGATGTCAGGCTCATACTTGGGTTTAAATATGGGCTCTGCCATTTATGATGTTGGGGTCCTTGAGCAAGTCATTAATCCTCTCAGTCTATGTCTTCACCTGTAAAATACAGAGAACACCTGTACAGGGTGTCAGCTACTGAGCGCCCAGTTAACCAGTTATAAGAATAACAGTTAAGGAGAACAAGGAGAACAAGATATCAGTTGCACATACATTTCCCTTTATTATAGTGTGTAGTTCACGGACTTTGTGGATTCAACATCATGCTTTTACTTTAAACAAATTCTCCTACTTCTCAGTCCCCTATCATAGTACAAATGTCCTGTTAAGATGTATTTTCAAAAGACTAAGCAGGGCGGGGTGGGGGGGACCTGAGTGACTCAGTTGGTTAAGCATTTGACTCAGTTTCGGCTCCAGTCATGAATGCAGGGTTCATGAGTTAGAGCCCTGCATCAGGCTCTGCGCTTGGCAGCATGGAGCCTGCTTGGGATTCTCTCTCTCTCTCTCTCTCTCTCTCTCTCTCTCTCTCTCTCTCTCCCCCTCCCCCCTCTCTCCCTCTCCCTCCCTCTCCCTCCCTCTCCCTCCCTCTCCCCCTCCCTCCCCTGCCTACATGTGGGTGCGTGCTCTCTCTCTCTCGCTCTCGCTCTCGCTCTTTCTCTCTCTCTCTCTGAAAATAAACATTAAAAGAAAAAAGGACTAAGCAGTATGCCAATTAAAAAGTTATTAAGACATGGAAAGGTTAAATCCAGTAACATCTACTGGAATAGGATTAAACTTTAGTGTTCTGGAGCATTCCAGAAACACAGCCACGACATTGCTCATTACTGTTAGTGACAAATAAGTGACTTATGTGGATTAATGTCACACCTTCTCTACTGATAAAAAATAGTGCTGCAGTGAACATAGGGGTGCAGATATCTTTTCAAGTTAGTGTTTTGATTGTCTTCAGGTAAGTACCCAAAAGTTGGAATCATATGGTAGTTCTAAGTTTAGTTTTTTGAGGAACCGCCATTTGTTTCCGTAGTGCCTGTACCACTGTCCGTTCCCACCAGCGGTACCCAAGGGTCCCCTTCTTTCCGCATCCTTGTTGGCACTTGTTACTCTTGTCTTCTTGGTCGTGGCTGTCCCAGCAGCTGTGAGGGGGTAGCCCACTGTGGTTTCTTTTGCATCTCCCTGATGATTAGTGATGTTCAGCATCTTTTCGTATACCTGGTGGCAATCTGTTTGTCTTCTTTGGAAAAATGTTTATTTAATTATTCTTCCCAGTTTGAAATCAGTTTGTTTTTCTCTTACTGAGTTGTATGAATACTTTATATATTTTGGATATTAACCCTTTATCTGATGTGTGTTTTGCAAAAATTTTCTCCTATTTTGTGGGTTGCCTTTTACATTGTTTCTTTTGTTGTTCAAAAGGTTTTTTTTCCTTAAGTTTATTTTTACTTTTAGAGAAAGATCTAGAGCAAGCGAGGGAGGGGCAGAGAGAAAGAGAGACAGAATCTCAAGCAGGCCTGACACTGTCAGCACAGAGCCTGATACAGGGCTCGAACTTGTGAACCATGAGATTATGACCTGCGCCAATATCAAGAGTTAGACACGTAACCGATTCTGCCACCCAGGCACCCCTGTTGTTCAAACATTTTAAGTTTGATGTAATCCCTTCTGTTGATGTTTGCTTTTGTTGTTTGGTGTCACATCTAAAAATCATTGCCAAGACCAGTCTCAAGGAGCTGCTTCCCTACAAGGAGTTTTATAGTATCAGTTCTTTCGGTCAAGTCTGTAAACTGTTTCACGTGAATTTTTGTGAGTGTGTAAGATAGGTGTCCAGTTTCACTGTTCTGCATCCGTTTATCCACTTTTCTCAACACCATTTGTTGAAGAGACTTTTCTCCTCCACATTTGGTGCTATTAGCCCCCCCTTGTTAAATATTAGTTTAAATGTATGTTGTTAAATGTATAAGCAGAGGTTAATTTGGGGGCTCTCCAGTTTGTCAGTGTGTCTGTTTTTGTTCCAGTACCATGTGTTTTTAATACTGTAGCTTGGTAGTGCAGTTTGCTATCAGGAAGTGCACTACCTCTGGTTTTTTTTCTTTAGTTATTTGGAGTCTTTGGTGGTTCTGTATAAAAGTTACGGTTGTTTTTTCTTTTTCTACAAAGAATGCCGTTCATATTTGATGGGGATTCTGTGGAATCTGCAGACTGGTTTGAGTTGTATAGATGTTTTAACAATATTAATTCTTCCAATCCATGAACACAGGCTGTCTTTCCATTTGTTTGT